ATTTTTATTTATATGCACTAGCTTTATTTTCGAAGCTGTATCTTTACATCCTTCTAATTTCACCATCTGTCCTTATACGTAAAGTGCGTTTCTTATAAGTGGCGTGTTTTAAAAATTCATTCTATTTTTACCTTTTACTGGGAATCTTTTGCCCACGTATATTTTATGTAGTTACTGGTATACAGATATATTTGAGTTTAATTCTACTACCTTTTTCCTATTAGTACAATTAGTCTATGTTCTTTTTTTCCTTTCTTGTGCTTTTTTTTTGTCTTTTTGAGACAGGGTCTTGCTATGCAGTTCAGGCTGGACTTGAGCTCATTTTGTAGCCCAGGCTGACCTTGAACTTGCAACAATCCTCCTGCCTCAGCCTCCCGAGTGCTGGGATTACAGGCGTGCACCACCAAGCCTGGCCTTGTGCTTTTTTGGAGCGGGGGGATAGATGAATTTATAAATTTATTTCTCACCTTATATGTTTAATACTCTCTGGATATTATATTTACCCACACACAACCTGTTAAATTCTAATATTAATTAGAAAATTCTCTACTTTTCCAGAGAATGCAGGTGCCTGAAAACATGTTAACTCCATTTACCCTTCCCAAACTTTTGTGTTACTTTTCACAGTAATTTAATTACACGTTATTTTAAACCTCACAAGGTATCACCTCTTCTTCGCAGCCCATGTTGGTTTTTATTCACTCACACGTCTGCACCCTGCGCTGCTCCTCATTCTTTCCCGCATTTGCTTCCTGCTGTGACTGTCTCTGTCAGCCTGAAGCACTCCCTTCGGTATCTCTTTCAGGATCAGTCTGCTAGGCATAGACTTAACTTACTGGTGTGGAAATGTTTTTTGAAGTATGCGTTTGGTGAGTCTGGAATTCTAACTGGCGGCTGTTTTCTAGAGAAGTCGTTTTGTTCTGGTTTGCGTTTCCAGCCTCCAGAAGCCTGAGGGAGCACCAGAGAGCGTGTGGGGCTGGGCCAAGCCGTGTGAGGACCTGGACACATTCAGCAGAAGGAAGGGCAGCCCATGGAGGCCGCGTGCAAACGTTTGCAGGGCTGGGATGATGTGCAAGGCTCGGTCTTGCCCCTGCTGACACTCGAGGGTCAAAGCAGGCCTTGCGGTGAGCGTGCGTTAGCCATCTGTTGCTGTGGCAAGATACCAGGCAACTTAAAAGGAGGAAAGGTTTCTCTTGGCTCATCCTTTTAGAGCTTTCAGCCCACGGTCCCTTGGTTCTGTTGCTTTCGGCCTCTGATGAGGGTAAACATCACAGCAGGGTATATATACGTAGTGGAGCAAAGCCGCTCACATCAGGGAAGCCGGGAGGGGACCAAAAGAAGAAGGAGCTGGGGTCCCCACGTAATCTTGAAGGGCACAGCCCCAGTAACCTGACTTCTTCCCACTACACTCTGCCTCTTAAAGGGCAGGAAGTTCATGAGTTCAAGCCTAGCCCAGGCAATTTAAAGATTTAGCAAAACTTTCTTTCAAATAAAAAATAAAAGCAGGGTGTGGTTGTGCACACCTGTAATCCCAGCACTTGGGAGGCTGAGGCAGGAAGATTGCTACAAGTTTGAGGCCAGCTTGTGCTACACCGTGAGTTCAAGGACAGTTTGAACTATATAGTGAGACTGTCTCAAAAACAAAACGCCAAAATAACAATAAAAGGACCGGGGATGTATGTAGCTCAGTACCAAAAAAAAAAAAAAAAAAAAGCCAGCCGGTGTTATTACTATTAGGAAGCAGTACATTTCCTATCTCTGGAAGCACTCAAGCGGAGGCTAGGAAAGCCCTTGTCTAAGCAATGGTGGAGAGAATTCTGGCATCGGGTGAGGAAGGGTTAGCTGGCAGCCCAGGCCACCTCTGCCATCCCAGAAGTCTGTGGAATGGTCCTGAAGAGCCCTGCCCTCTTCAGCCCCAGGCTCTGCCCAGGGGACCTCCTTGGGCGGCTGGGGTCATAGTGTGGTGCTGGACCTCTGCCCTGGGCACTAGCAGCTGGGAAATTGTGACCCAAGTACCCTGTCTCTGTCAGGCAGGACAGGCTGCAGAGAGAGGGCCGGCCTTGGCCACCATTCCGTGGAGGGCCCAGGAGGGAAGCAGCTGTGGTGGGCACCGAGCTAGAGTCACTGACAGGACACCGGATTGTACACACACCTCTGTGGGGCCGCACCTCATAGCTGTGGCCCTGGCAGACAGTAGTTTGGCATGCGCCTGTCACCTGCTAAAAGGACGTCAGCATCTTCTCTCAGTATGAAGTGTCATAAAAGAACATTGAGTATGAACTTCAAAGAGCCTCCTCCACGTGGCGCAGGCCGGAAAGATACATCTCCGGAGGCGCATCTGTCTGCCTCCCCTCTAGATTGTGGGTGCCGAGCATGCTGTGTGACACCCATGCCTGTAATCCCAGTGCTCTGGGAGGCTGAAGCAAGAGGATCAGGAATTTAAGCTCAGCAACTTAGTGATTTGGCAAGAACCTGTCTCTAAATAAGAAAAGACCGGGGATGTAGCTCAGTCCAAAGGCCCAGGGTTCAACCCCAGTGCTGGGGAAAAAACTCCTGCCCAGCAAGGGAGCCTGCCCAGTGTGGACTCCTGCCTTCCCCCAGTCTGCCCGGGGCCCCTGACCTCGGGCGTCTTCCGTCCCTGGGGCTCGGTGCAGGGCGGGGTTGTGGTAGAAGCAGTGCTGAGATTCAGTTCCAGGAAGGCCTGGGGGGAGCTGGAGTGGGTCTGAGAGTCGCTGCCCTGTCGCAGGGTGAGGAGGAAGGCGGGGAAAGAGGCCTAGTGAGGGGTAGGAGGAGCGGAGGAGTGTGGAAAGCAGCCCCGGCCCCAGCCCCTGCGCTGGGGGCCTGGAGTGGAGCCCCAGGAGGCTGGGACTACATTAACACCAGCCAGGGGCAGGAGACCAAGGGGAGGGTGGGTCAGGGGCGGCAGCCCTGCGGGGAGAGGGTGTCAGTGATGTGCATTTCTGCAGTTACTAGGAAAGCGGCACTGCCCCTGTGTGTTCTTCTGAGGGCTGAGAGCCCTGGAGCAAATCCGTAGTATTACACTCCCAGCACCCCAGTTCTTGTGTCAGCACAGACTTTCCAGAGGGGCTGGGAAGGGGTGCGTTCTGTGCAGGTTCTGTTGCACTTGTTGGATTTTTACACAGTAGCCACACTTTGTATTTTTAACTGAAATGGGAAAATGTTTCGGAAACTTTGCTGTTTGACCTACGGCCATGGCTGGAGTTGGGGTACTTCTGCTCGTCGTAGGGCCTCCGCCCAAGCTCCTTTTGGGGTCACAATGGTGGCTGAAGGTTGCTGTCAACCAGATGGGGACAAGGGCCAGCTGCGTCCCCTGTGCCCCTGCTTAGACACCTTGCCCTGGAGCCACCCGGCCCTGCTGTACCTTCTGGCTCCTTCTCACCCAGGCCTGGACCTGTGACGCAGAGGGTCACACTGCTGCCTACACACTGCCCCCCTTTAGCAGACCACACTAGGCAGGAGGTCTCATCCCACTGTCTAGATGAGGAAACTGAGGCTTGGGTAGAGGTTGACTCTCACAGCATCAGGACTGCAACCCAGGTCCCCTGCTTTCACAGGGGAGGTTGGGGAAGATCACACACAGAGGTTGGGGAAGATCACAGCTCCTTGGACCCCACCTGTTTCGAGGTGTGCTTCTACGGGACAGGTGGTGGAGAGGGCTGGCCTATGTCAGTGGTAGGTAGAGCGTGAGATGCCTGTCCCAGGCCCAAGTGTCACTCATCTCTGGGCCATGGTGCCCACTTGCCCTACACACACACACACACACACACACACACACACACACACACACACGCATGCACACACACATCTGTCTTCTCCTCCTTTATAAGTCTTCGCCCTGCACTCATCTGCTGGGGAGGCCTCGCTAGGTGGCCGCTTGTAGTCCCTGGTGCCCACCGGGTGGGCAGTCTGAGCTGTGGGCTGTGTGTGTGTGCTGTGCCCTGCCTGCCTTGCCCCGCCAGGTCATATAATGGTTGGGGATGCCCGCACGTCTAGCGCAGACCCCAGGCCATAGGTCCCAGGAAGTCAGAGCTGACAGGGCCCAGACACCATACTGCGAACCCGAACAGGTGGGGAACCCTGTGGGCAGACACGGCGGGGACTCCTGCGCTGGGAGGCCGCTGGCTCACACGTTACTTCTCGAGCCTTTCACATCCTGGCGGGCACTGTGACTCTTCATGAGGGGCCAAAGGGTGCTTGCTCGCCAAGCTTGGGAGACTACAGGATCTACTCAGAGCAGGCAGTGCATGCTGGGAAATGCGGGTCCAGATTCCCTCCCCTCGGAGACTGAGGTCCACAGGTCAGGAGGGGCCACTACAAATTAGAAAAAAGGGCTCCCTCACCAGCTGGGGGAAATGATGACCAACAGACTGATCTTATTACCACAGGACTCTTTACTGCCCTCTGCTGGAAAATCCTCCCAGTAAGCACACACATACTACAGTACATCTGGGAAGGGCACCACGTTTCCTTTCAGGTGAGTGGGGTGAACGGGGTACTGTTATGGAGTGTACAACCTGCCCAACTGTGCACGGCAGCCCTGGGGTCAAAGTCACACAATCGTAACCTGTGTGTCCCTCATTCCCTTTCTGCCCCGGGGAGGGTTCTGAGTTGACCCCTTTAGCCTCAGCTAGACGGGGATCTGAGGCTTCATCTGTGTCACCCCTGGCCCTTTGCTTAGCCATGGCAGACTGGAATGCCTGCGTCTGGGACAGATTCCACCAACGCTCACCTACCGAGAGCAGGCTCGTGAGTAGGGTTGGATCCAGATCCAGCACAGGCTCTAACCTGCGGTGACCCTAGGGAGGTCTGTTTGCCTCTCTGGGCTGGCTTTCTCTTCTGTAAAATGAGGCTGCGGAGCTCAGTCAAATGCAGGGGTCCCACGGCCCTGAACGGACAGCGGCCTCCCTGCCCCCTGCCTCGCAGAGGTTGGGGAAGAGCAGGACAGTCACTCCCAGTCTCCAATAACAGCCAAGAAGACGGAAGACTACAACCTGGATTTTTTTATTAGACTAGGAAATATAATTTATTTCATAAAAATTAATTTTGTTACAATAGGAATGCTAAACGTTATTTACAGGTTGTAGTTTACAGAATGGACAGAGGTGGGGTTGGGGCCATCCCTGGAGTGCTGCACCCCTGGGACATATAACCATGTCATGGCCCAGGCAGGGTCCAGCCCTTTGTCCCCAGAGCTGTCCCTGCCCCCAAGCGCCCAGTCACCTCCTCCCAGAGGACCTGTGAGGGGAGCCGGCTCAGTTGCCTGGGAGCAGGGGCCCCGGGCCATCTGGGAGATGAGGAGGGTCCCAAGCAGGAGGCTGGGCCCAAAAGGAGGCAGAGAGGCACGTAGGAAGTACACGGACCCTGTGGGCCAAGGGCGGCGGGCGAAGCAGGCACAGAAGAGGCCACGCCCCACACAGGCGTGGCAGGCGTGCATGTGGGGGGCGCCCTGATGTGCCCGAGGATAAAAGCACACACGCGCACACACACGCGCACACGCACAGGTGAGAGACGGAACGCCGTGTGCTTGCTCGCAGGGTCCTGGTGGCACCGTGAGCTGCTGCTGCCCTGCGGCAGCACCTCAGCACGCTGGTGGAGTTGGCAAGTGCTTTCCGGGCTTTTCCTATGGAGCTGGACAGCGTGACCCCAACAGGAGGCTCCAGCCAATGGTCCTGGGCTCCAGGCCCTTGGAAACAGCTGCATGGACCTCAGCTGCCAGGAGCTCCTGTCTTGGGGCCAGTAGGAGAGGGCATGGCATTGCAGGCCACCTCAACTTGTGCCCACTAGGGTTCCCTCTGGAAGGTCAGAGAAATCTCAGAACCCAGAGAGCCTCCGACAGCAGCTGTGAGGCTTCTTGGGCACAAAAAGGATGCAGATGTGAGTGCCCAGAGAAGGCAGTGGTATGTGTGAGGTCACAGCGGTTTCATAGCAGGGCTGGAGCTCCACACCTGCCTCCATCCACAGCTCTCCTGGTGGGAACCTTCCCGCCAACCTCCGGGCAGGGCCTGACCTACCTTTGGCCAACTCCCATCCTGAGACCCCGGCAAGGAAGAAGGCAGGGGACACTGGCTGGGACAGGACACCAGACTTTCAAAGGCCAGGGTGTGCCCAGCCAGTGGCTGCTCAGGGCTGCTGGGGTAACCCCTGGGCCAGTGCCCAGAGCCTGGGGCATCTGGCACCTCCCGACTTTGAGTGCCAAGGAGGAGCCTTTGTGCCCATGGCGAGATCCTGGTCCTGGCCATGGCCACCGGCTCAGAGGGGATGGGGACTCAACCCTCCCCACTCAGTGGCCCCCAGAACATCCTGGGGCGGCAGTGTCAGCTCCTCTACCCTGGCCACCCTGCCCATTCAGAAAGGCCACTTGCCAACCTCCCGGGCCACAAGGGAGGAGGGTACAGGTCAGAGCTGGGAAGTGAGTTCCGCCCCCAGCCCCTCTCCTGTGCGTCCACACTTCCCACCCCACAGCCTCTTCGTCCTGACTCCCAGGAGACCCAGGAGCCTAGGAATCTGCCCGTGGCGGGGAGGAAAGGGCCCCCTCCTGTGCTCTGGGCTTTATGAACTCAGCCTCAGCTGAAGAGTTTAGCGGATGACTTCGTGCCATGGCTAAAACCCTGTCTCATCCGCTCCTTGCACAGCCGGGCAGACTGAGGCCTTGTGCGAGTTCAGTCCCAGGCGGATTCATGAGCAGCAAAGCAGGCCTTGTTCAGTCTCTCCCCCAACACACGTGCACGCACACACACATGCTTGCACACACGCACACGCTCCTGGCCACAGCCCGAGCGCGCCAACTCTCACCCACACGCAGGAAAAAAGTTTTCTTTTTCTTTTTTTTTTTCATTTTCTTTCTTTTTTTTTTTTTTTTCTTAAAAAGGGCTTATCCAAATATCTGGATAATAAATCATTTGCGTTTCCTAAGAAACTGGGTTTTTCTTTTCCCTTGTGGCTTTGGTGTTTTTCTTCTTCTCTGAGCCTCACTAGCATCTGAAGCTTTTTCTTTCCTTCCTTTTCCTTTTCACTGTGGACGGGAGAAAGCAGTTTTCTGGAACTGAACTCAACTCTTCGTGAGAGGAAGGGCGGGAGAGCCTTAGGGGCTGGGATGAGGGAGAGAGAAACCAAGAGCTGGGGAGAAAGTGAGAACAGAACGAAAACCGGGGACCCAGAAGTCACAGGGCGAGGGCGGGAGGACGGGAGGGAGGGCTACCTCCTGTCCCTAACTGCTGTGTCACACAGTCTGTGATTTAGGAGAGATGGCAGGGGACGAGGGGCTCCAGGACTCCCAGCAACAGAGCACGTGGATTTTCTAAGGCTGGTTGTGGTCTGGTCTTGGTCTGGGCTTCTGGTGGGGAGCAGGAGGAGGAGGAGAGGAACAACTCCAGTTGGGGCTGGATGTCCCCACGGGGGGGCTGCCCAGGCTGCCCCGCTCTGCCTCCTGCCTGTCCCTGCCGGCCCGCGCTCCGGGCGCTCAGCAGTCCCCATCGGTGGCCATGGCCACCAGCATCTCACTCTTGCCCATCTCTTCCAAGGCACTCGCCAGGCTGTTGAGGTCCCCGTCGTCCTGCTGCAGAGCTTCCCAGAGGTCCAGAATCACGCCCGTGGGGCTTGCTTTGGTGGCAAAGTAATTCAGGTACCTGGCAGAGGAAAGGAGAGGGGTATTGGGGAGCGCTCAGCACCTCCTGGGAGCCTGCAGGCGGAAAGGCTGTGGGGTCTGGAGTCCTGCAGTCCTGGGTCTGAATCCCAGCAACTCGGCTTGCAGGCTGGGTGGCCCTGGGCATGTCAGTGCACCTCACTGAGCCTTAGCCACATCCCTAACATGGGAATGAAGTGAGTCACCTCCCAGCACTGCAGGACCAGACCCAAGCCTAGCAGACACCAGGAGGGCCTGTCCAAGCACAGCCGCCACACTCTTCCCTTCCATCCACCTCTGTTCCCTTCCCATTCTGCCCCACAAACTCCCCTGATAGCGGGAACAGAGTTCCAGCCAGCTCTGCAAGTCCCACTCATTTCTAGGAAGATGTCTTATTCATAGCATCTGCCCAAGGCAGGTTGATGACACGTTTTTTCAATAAGTACAGTGTCGCCACTGCCACCCGAAATGCTGAGCATCTGCAGTTCTGCAAAAGCTGTCAGCCCCAGGTACATGCACTCAGCAAGTGTCTCAGGTGCACCTGTTCAGCCCAGCCACTGTGGTGCTGATGGTGGCCACACCAAGCTGGTGTCTAGGCTGTGCCTGATTCTCAGCCCATCCCAGGAGGTGGGAGGTGGGCACTTTCCCACACCGTGGGAGAGCATGGCGGTGGCAACCTGCCTCCTTGCTGGCCAGTGCTCGGAGCATAGCGCTCCTCAAAGGAGGCTTAGCGCACATGGGAAGCCCAGGCCAGAGGACTTCTGCCCTACCTGGAGTACGAAGTGAGGGTCAGCTGAGGGCCGGGACACTCACCGGTCCATGGACAGTTTCTGCGCCAACAGGCGCCAGTCATTGCCCCGTGAGTTGGGGGCATCGAGGCTGCTGCATATCTTCTGGCGGATGGACACCGGGATCTTAAAGGCATAGGGGCCCAGCTGGGTGGTGACGGCACTGCCAGGGGCAGAGCAGAGGGCATCCAGGGAGCTGGCAGGGGTCTGGAAGGGCAGAGGAAGAGTGAGAGGGCCATGCGACAGGTGTCAGCAAACCCCCTCGCCAGCCTCCCTGCTGGCCTGCAGGCGCCCTGAGGCTTGAATGGTGCCCACCTCCTGTGGGAGTCTCCAGCTGCCCAGGCAAGGGCCGCCTCTCTGAGGGCGAGGGCTGCACTGTGCTAATGTACCACCAGGTAAATGCCAACCCAGCCTCACGGTCAGGAGGCCCTAGGAGGCCTAGCCATGGTCTAGACAGCTCATGCTGACCCACTGTAGCCTAGAAAGTGGAAGTGACTTGCCCGAGGTCCCATGGCAAGTGAGCGGCGCAGCTGGGTCCAGCACTGTGCTCAGCACGCAGGGTCTCTCTACGTGGTGCAGCCTGGCCCTGACCTCCCAGTGATCTTTTTGCCTCAGCCTTCTGAGTGCTGGATTACAGGCATGTGCCACCACACCTGGCCTCAGTGCTTTTTATACTACACTGGCAGAAAGATCTGTAATCTTGGGTAACGTGGGTTTTTCACATTTTAATCTGGATTTATAGGAGTTGAGAGCCATAGCTTGGAACCCCTGACCTGGGTTCAAATCCAGTCCTGTCACTCTTGTGACCATGTGCAGAGACCTGTCCTCCCTAACACGTACTGTGTCATCCTGCAGGTGGGGTCGGGACAACTGTCTCCCTGCTGGTCAGGAATAGCGTTACATCACCTAGCACATGCCATGCACTCGCATACCCCTAGGAAGTCTGTTGGCCAAAACTGACCAAGTCCCACCCCTGACCGCAGCGATGTCTTTACAGGGGACAGCATTTCTGCCCAGATGACGGGGGAGCACAGGGTCTGCGTGCTGAAGCCCTCAGCCCCACAGTGTTGCAGACCTCACCTCGGCCAGTGTGGTGTGTAGCTGGAATATCTGGCCTTCCCCTTCCACCTGCCGCACGCAGATCTTGCAGGTGAGCTCGGAGGTGGCCAGGCTGTGCCGCTCCAGGGAGAAGGTGCAGTGCAGGGCCTTCTGGCTGCCGCTCCAAATGTGACAGAAAGGGATTTCCTGTGGGAAGGCAGTCAGGGCTGCAGGCGAGGCCGGCCCTGGGGCAGGCAGGGGCCTCGTGGGTAGGTCAGGCCCTTGGTTGCAGGAGGGCACTGAGAGAGGGGGTGGGAGGAGGGGAAGGCACTGAAGGGGAGAGTGTGTTTGCTGCGTGTGGGTCTGGGCTGGGATGCCTCAGGGCCTCCATGATGTCACACACTGCAGGGTGGGACCGAAGGGTGTGGGTCGGAGAGGAGGACAGCAGTTGGTCAGGCATGCACACCCACGTGGACAGGGCCCTCTGAGGCCCATGGGCACAGGAAACAAGGAGTGGCAGGGGCAGAAGTGAATGTGGCTGTGGATGGCCCAGAACTCGGGGATGTGTCTGACGATGCCCAGGGCTTGGGCACCAGAGGGAGACCGCGATGGCAGCAGAGACAGCAGGAGGGACTCAGTTCAGCACTGAGGCAGGGCTCTGGCCTGATGGGGGCCAGGCTTCCACTTCCTGGCTCAGCCCTCACCTGGTACTTGGCCAGCAGCTTGCTCCGCCAGTGAGCGTGGGGGATGTCATGCAGGGACAGGCGCAGGTTGTGGTAGCTGTCCTTGAACAGCAGGGGCTTGGGCTCCTCCACCAGGTAGCCACCCAGCATCCGTTCCAGCTCCAGCACCTCCTGGGGACCAGCAGTGGGAAGGGGAGCCCGTCACACTTGGACGAGCACCCCTTTCTGAAGTTGGGGTGAGGGGGAAGAGGCCATGGGAACACAGAGCACAGAATTGACCCAACCCATTCAGCAGGCGCTTTAGATGAATGGATGCGTGGGCAGATAAGTGGGGGAACAGAAAAGCAGATGAATGAATGCAGAGACAGTGGGACACATGAATGGCTTTATAGATGAATATTTGGCTAGGAGGGCTGATGGGGAGAGTGTGTGAATGGACAGACGAATGGATAACTGCATCGACAGAAACATAGACACAAGGACATACAAATGGGTGGGTATATGAATAGAAGGACATTTGAAAGGAAAGATGAATGGCTGGATGGATGATGGATGATAAGTATATGGGTAGATGAACAGAAAGATGGATGGATAAATAGATGTGAGGCTGAAAAAACAAAGAATGCCCCCAGACCAAAATGTGGCCCGTTCCCTCTTGATCTTCATGTCATTTTCTGGCCAAAAGTGGCCATCAGTCAACATCAGCCACCCCAGCACCAGGAGATCCAGGCCACGAGTATGCTTCCCAGCATCCTCCACCCCACTGTGGGGCTCCTGGAATTTCAGGCCAGGTGACCCCAGCAGGAGACGCTCCTTCTCCCCCAGGGCCATGTTGCATCAGTCCACACCGTGAAGTCACACGGGACTGGGAAACGAGGAGCTGGGAGGATCCGAGCCCAGGCGGGGAGGAGGCAGGCGCTCCCGACAGGAGCAGGACTGAAGGCTTCACAGAGGGTGGGTGGGGCTTTGCAGCTGGTGGCAGTGCTTGCATAGGGCCACACGCTGGCCATCACCAGTGCCCTCCCTTCCCTCCTTTTCTGCCCCAGTGACTCCGCGCCTGCCACGGTCCCTCCCTCACTTAGGGCGCCGCCGCCTGTTCTTCTGCATCCAGCATAGCCTGGCTGTTGGCCCTGAGTTCTCCTGGACCGGACCCCAGCATTCGTGGCTTCAGGACTTGGAAGTGGGGTCTCTCTTTTTTTTTTTTTTCTCCCTGAGTTCTCTTCTTGTGCGTCTTGCCAGCTCTGATCTGTCCATTCGACACACTGAGCGCATCCAGGCCCCTCTCCTGGCCAGTCACTGGCTGCTGCCTGTGGCCCAGCCCAGCCTCCCCGCTGGCCTCTCTGCCTCTCGTCCACCCACCCCATAGTGTAGCCACAGCCTCTCAGAAAAGGACCTGTCAACTGGTATCTGCTGGGTCTACCTCCTGCCACGGGACAGGTTCCAAGGCTCCTGGGAAGCTGAGCCCTGGGACTTCGCACACACCGAGCAGCACACCCACCTTGGTAGCGGCTGCCCTGTCTGCCTGAAATGCCCTTCCTTCTGCACTGCCCTGGGCTCCTCCTTGTCCCCTGGGGCTCAGGTCCATGGTCAGCCTCTCAGCCCCTCCTCCGGTGCTTCCTAAGCCCTCTGCAGACTCTCACGAGGGGCTCCAAGAGCCTTCTGTCTGGAGCCTGGTGTGGCAGGAACCACAGCCTCACCTCTGCCCCGAGGGTCCCATGCCATTCCCACGTGGAGGGGGTGGAGGGAGCCCGCGAGGTCCCATGCAACTGGGCAGGGGAGGGAAGGCGGAAGGGGTCCTGCTGCTGCCTGGCTGGGGGTGGTGCAACTGCAGCGTGCTGGGTGTGGGCACCCACCTTCAGGGCCACGGGTGTGTCCTCCAGGCAGTAGACCCTGAGGCTGTACTCCAGTGAAGTGCAGAGCGCAGGCGCAAAGATGGCCAGCTGGAGCCGCTTGACGGCCGAGTGGGAGTAGGACTCGCCCGTGAACACGTAGGTACCCAGCTGGTCCAACAGAATATGGCAGGACCTGGCTTCCAGCTGGCAGTAGCAGGGCGTGTTCAGGGTCTCCTCATCCAGCGTCACCACCTCCTGCGGGGCAGGGGAGATAGTCAGCCTCCCGGGCTGTGCCAGGAGGGAAAAGGGCTGTGTCTCGCCTCCCCAGCTCTGCTCCTCACCTCCCAGTGGCCCTGGTGGGCCTGGGTCTTGAGCTGGAAGATCCAGTCACCAGCACTGACTTCAGCACAGTGGGGCACGGTGAGGATGACGGGGCGGCAGAGCAGGAGACCCGTGGGCCCGCAGGTCACTGAGGGGCTCAGCACTGTCTGGGTCCCTTCCGAGAGCGGGCTGGGGACAGGGCACAGGTGGGGGGGCAGTGAGGGGTGACCCAGAGAACTCTGCAAGGGCACAGATTCCAGCTGGTCCCCAGCTCTGCCTATGGCCTGCGTGAGGGCAGAGGTCACGGGGATGGGTGGAGGGGCAGAGGAGATGGATAGACCTTGTCATTGTTCCTAGATTTTTGCTTTGACACCATAACATTCTCACGGCCAAATCTGTGGGTGCAGTTCCCAAAGTCCTGCACTTTTGGATCAGTCTTGAGAGACGCTGCTAGACTGCCATCCAGAGAGCTGGTACCAATCCATACTCCCCAGCACACCAGGGAGGCCAGGTGCCTGGGCTTTTGGCAACAATTGGGAATCATCATTTGAAAACCTAATCCTTGCAAATCCTTAAGCAAACACAATAAAAACCTCCCAGTATCTCTGGGCTGTTAGTTTTCTTGGACTACAAATTAGGTGGAATGTTCCCTCAGAAACTTCTGGTCACTATGTATGCATGTCTAAGAGAAAACAGTGTGTGAATCACCTGTTCACATCTTTTGTCTGTTTTTGTACTGAGGGATTCAATTTTCCTTAGTTTACAAAAGCTTTTTACGTAGTAGGGATATTAGCTCTTTGTGCTACTTGCAGCCAGTTTGTCAACTGCTATTCAGTTGTATGACTTAGGGTGTTGGTTTTGTTTGTGTTAAATGTGGACATGGTGGCCTTCCCTAGAAGAACCCTAACCTGGGGGACCAGGCTTAACAGGGAGGGGTCAGAGGAGGCGTAGCCGGGCCAGGGAAAGGGTCTCTACTCACAGGGTGTTTTCAGCTTTGTTGATAAGCAGGTACATCTCGTAGAACTTGCCCTGGGGAATGGCTCCATTAGGCACCAGCAGGCTGACCCCTAGGGGGAGAGGGGGGTCAGCAGGTAGGGGCTGAGGGAAGTGTGGGGCTGGTGCTTAGGGGGACAGGGATGGGAGGCTGGCATGGCTTGGGGCAGGGACAGATGACGTCTGAGCTCTGGGTGGTCTCCAGCCAGGAGGAGAGAGAGAGAGAGAGAGGGTCTCAGTGCTAGCTCCACACCCAGCTCAGGGCAAGACTCCTGAACACTGTCAACTGCTAGGCTTACAAGCCGAGATGGGCAGCCCTGCCACTGCTGCCCCTAGAACCTAGGACAGTGCTCTGTAAGAATGCAGGACTATGTGGGGCTACCCTCTCCCAGTGAACAGATAGGGAAGCTGAGGCTTGCAGAATGGCTGGCCCATAGTTCCCTGGCTCCAGAAGACACAGGCAGGCCTGAACTTGTGTCTTTAATCAGACTTCCCTATCTTATGGTCCTTTCTTGTTCTCCCCACCTGAGCAACGGGATGGAGCAACCCTGCCTCATGCTGGGTAGGTGTCAGGGCTGCCCAGCAAGGATGTGCTGAGCCAGGGTGAGAGGCAAGCGGCGCACCTGTGCCAGGGATGCTCAGCCTCCCGCCAAGGCAACCAAAGGTGCCGCTGACACTGCTGCCAGGCTCTCGGGGCAGGCCCAGGAGCTGCTGGGACCCAAGGCTGGCTCTACGCAGATGCAGGAAGTGGCTGTCCCGGGAGAGATCGCCGGGGTAAGTGCCAGGTGGCAGGACGCCCAGGAGGTCGGTCCCATCAGGCAAGCCAGGCCTGGGATCAGTGGTGCTGGAGTTGTAGACCTTGATCTTGAGGCCAGGCAGGGGGTCCAGCAAGGGAGAGTTGGTCATAGGAATCTTGTCAGCCGAGTCCTGCAGGGCGTACACAGGCCCTCGATAGATGCCGGCGCTGGCTGTCAGGTCGGGAGGCATGGATGGGTGCAGCAGCTGTGGGTTGCCTGCAGAGAGGGAGTGATGGTCATGCTCCAGCCTGCCACGCTGCCTGCCCGCCTCTGCTCCTGCAGGGCCCTCCTGTCCCACTCAAATGTCCAGCTGTGAAGGTTCCACTGCCACCTGCTGCAGCAAGCTGGGAGCAAACTTTGGGAAAGCCTGGGAGAGAGTCAGGAGACCCAGCTGTGCCCTCCAGGGGCCCCAGCGAACCTGCCACCTCAGGCGTCCTCGGGTCCTTACCGGGCCTCGTGGTCTTGAAGTTGACTGGGTGGAAGCCGCCAGTGAGCGCGGCAGAGGAGTCAGTGATGTCAGTGTCAAAGTCGCGGCAGTTGCGGCGATACACCACCACTCCCACCGCCATGAGGATCGCCACTACTACGAAGATGGCCACCACGAGGCCTGCGTACAGCGCCACATCACCTGAGGCTTCCAGGGCTGCAGGGACAGGAAGATACATGAGGCACAGGGCTGAGACTGCCAGCGAAGGCAGAGGTCCTGGGGAGGGCCAGGGCTTGGGGTAGACTGGCACTGCACTGGCACTCCACTGGCTTGGGGTCGACTGGCACTGCACTGGGGTCCGAGCCCTGCTGCAACAGGATGGTAACTGCAGGGGAGACTGGGAGCTCTCTGAGCCAGTCTCGGCATTAGAAAAATGGTCTCAAAACCCCGCTCTGCTGCTTACCCACCCTCCTAGAGTAGCAGGGAGGCAAAAGAATAAACATGTCCCCACCATGAATGAACTCATGGCTCCCTGCTCAGGGACCCAAGGCCACACACAATTTGTCCTCCAGCAGCTGAGATTTAAAGTATAGGATTTCATACCCAGCCTGGAGGCACTTTTATAGGACCAGAGGTCCCAGCTCCTCGAAATCTTTGTGAGTAACCATTCTAAGCTTTTCCCATCCTGTGGTCCGAGGGATGGTGGTGGAGATGGGGGGTGGCGTGAGATGCAAGCAATGGGATGGTGAGGCGGTAAGCAGGTAGCGAAAAGGATGGGGTTGGCCACCCTCCCCCACAGCAGGCTGCAGCTGGACATAATTACTCATGGCCAAGCAGGAAGGTGGTAAGGTCGAAGAGGCAAGGTCAATGGAACTTTCTACAATGGCCAAACTATTATGTCTGTGCAATCCATGTGCAGCTTTTAGATACAAGTGGCTGGTGCAACTGAAGAGCTGAATTTTAAAACTGACTTAATTTAAATTAAGTTAAATATGAGTTTAAGTAGCTACACATGGCTGCCAGCTACCACACTGGTCGGCTCAGTCAGGCAGAGCCAAGATGGTGGCTACCAAGATGGCTGCTCCAGGAAGCACCCACCCATACTCTCCAGCCCTGAGGGGCTCTCGGAGAGAGAGGCCTGCTTTTCCTGCCTGGTGTCCTCCAAGCCCTTGGGTCAGCCTGAGCCCTCCAGCACACGGCCATGGCTCTCTGCTCTGAATGTCTGTGTACTTCTTGCACCTGCCGATTCCCCTCATTCTCGGGCTCCCCTCAGAGAAGCCCCCTCAGGCCTGGGCTCCACCTCTCTGTAGGCTCCTGGCCCAGCAGGGAGATGACTCTTCCAGCTTTGCTCTGCATCTTAATGTCCTTGCTCACACTAGGGGCCACTTGCCTGGTGATTTATGCTCTCTAATCAGCCACCAGCCTCGTCCCCCAGTGAGCTAGGCTGAGGGCATCATTGCTGATTTTATGATTCCAGAATTATTTGGAAATTGTGGTTTAATTACCACAGGCCAATCTGCCGAAGAGGCTTTATTGCTCTGATATTACTGCAATGGCAGCGGCCCTCTGGGGCTGAGGACAAGGCCCCCCCTTGGGAGCTGACGCAGGACAGTGGCCTGCAGATGGTTCAGGAAGCAGGGCTCAGCAGCTGGGGTACAATGTAGGGCACAGGGGGTGCAGATATGGTGCTGCCTGTCTCTGTCCCAGAAAGGAAGGCCGAGGGCATAGGGTAAAAGCACCAGCCTTGGCCACAAAAATATTTGGGTCCAAATCCTGGCTCTGTCACTTCCTGGCTGGATTCTTGGGTGAGTCTGTTCTGAGACACACTTTCCCACCCTGTAACAGGAGGATCATGGGAAAGTCCTAGGTCCTTTCTGTCGGCCAAAGGCCTGTCTGTCCATGGTGGAGGGAGGAGATCCTTGGGGGGTCAGGTGCAGGGGTTGGCACAGGGGATACCATCAATTCTTCCTGCCCTGTTCCCCACACCCAGGAAAAGCCAGCCAAGGAGAACCAGGGCACCCGAAGGAGAGACAGTTATGAAAGGGGACTTACGGTGACTTTTGGGGTCGCTTAGAGTTCTCTTATCTGTCAAGGGAAATAAAGGGAAAGACAATGACACAGGTGGTAGGAAAAGGATGGCAGAGAAGGCAATGGGGACAGGATGCAAATGAGATGACAGGAACGGGGTGCTGGCGGTCCTGAGGGCAGCCCCACAGCAGGCCAGGCACTGAAGCCTGGAGCTGTCGGGGTGGCAGTGGGGGTCCCTCACCTGGATCCAGATGCCCGCTACCCAGAGCCCCCCGCTCCTGGGGACTCACTCTGCATGCACAGCCCGCCAGTGCAGTTCTTGGACTCCAGCAACGGCCCACTGCAGTCACGGCCTCCGTTCTGGGGCGGGGGCGCCATGCACTCGCGGCTGCGCCAGTGGGTGCACTCGGTGCTGCAGGCCGACCACTTGCTCCACTCCGTCCACGCCCCGTCCACTGTTGGCATGGTGCACAGTTAGAGCAGTGTGCCGACGTGCGCGAGCGCAGACACACACGGCTGGGGCAGGGAGAGGAAGCTGAGACACTTGCTCGCCGTACTGAGAAACCACACCGTGCCCCACAGCCCTGTGCCAGCCAGCAGTCAGATGCGCCCGGTGGCAAAGAGACACGGGTCACTGGCACAGACATAGCCCAGTGCATTGTCGGAAGTGCAGAGACACAAGCCCAGGGTGAAAAACGTCACCCCGACACAGCACATCCCAGAGGAGAGAGCCCAGTCAAGGTGCACGGAGATGGGGCCTCACAGACAGGAACAGGAAGACAGGGAGGGCCAGGGTCCATGGCTGAGAGTTCTGTACAGGACACTGTGTGGACCTGAGCCAGAGGAACCCAGGTTGGAGGGGTAGGCGGAGGAGTCCATCCAGGATCACAGCTCAGAGCCTCTGCCTCCATTTTCCCAGCAGCCAGGGCAAAGCAAGGGGTCAGAGGCCAGAGTGCCTAGGCCAGCTGAGCTGCCAGCTGTGGGTCCTGGGGTGAGCTCCTGCCCTGCCCGTGCCGGGGGCAGACACTGTCCTGCCTCAGCACTGTCACACAAGTAGCATGGCTAGGGGCAGGGCTGGGGTGGGCAGGATGGTGCCTGGCCAGTGGCCCTCACCTGGACACACGGTGGTGCACGGGGTCTTCTGGAAGGCCTGGCCCTCGCAGAAGGCACCTCCATTGAGTGGGGCGGGATTGGTGCAGGTCCGCGTGCGCTTCTGCCAGCCACGGCCACAGCGGTTAGAGCAGGGTGACCACTCCGTCCAGCTGGACCAGCCGCCATTCACTGTAGGGACAGCAGCCATCAGTGGCTTGGCCAGCCCTGGGACCCTCTGGCTCCCCAGCCCACCTCCACTTGATGGCCCTCTGCTGAGTCCCTGTCCTGGCTGCAGGTATTTTGACGCCAGCATGCAGCCCTGCGCTGTCGCTGTCTGCACAGGAAGGTCATGGAGGTTACTGTCTTGTCCCTGACCCCCACAGTGACAAAGTTCCCTAGAGGGCCAGCATTTATCAGTGCCCTCCAGGATACGGTGGGGACCTGGGACTCAGGCTGGGGTCCTTTTTATAACATTTTGTAGTCTCTACAGCTGTGGCTTCGCCCTTTCCACCCCGGGGTCAAGGAACAGTGGAGAGCAGCGCTCAGGCCTGGGCAGCAGTGCTTGACTCTCCTGTGTAACGGGGACCTGACCTCCGAGCACTGGGTCTTCTCCTTCAGAGACAGCCAAGCCCCAGGAAGGGGGCAGTGGTCCTGGCTGGGGACCTGGGGGGGCCTGAATTGGCTACACTTTGCTGCATGACCTCAGTCAATTCACTTCTCACCCTTCTGGGGGTCCTGCTGGCCCTCAGGGCAGCATGGGTGGGGGAGATGTGTAGCCCCAGGCCCTCCCATCTCCCACCCCAGTACTGCACCGTAGACGATGACAGTGGCTGTGGTGCTCCGGCGCTTGGCCACGATGTTCTTGGCCACGCAGGTGTAGTTGGCCGTGTCCGACAGGCGGGCCTGGCGTATGATGAGGTTGTGGTCGATGGTGAGCAGGAAGTTGGTGTCCTGGGTGGGGTCGATGACGTCCTCGTTCTTGAGCCACTCCACCTGTGGGAGTGGGTTGGGGCAGTGAGGACTCAGACCCGCCTCCCCTGTGGCTGGGGATGAGCAGAAGGGAGGACAGTTGAGTAAGAACAGAATGGTGGCTTGCCACATCAGGTCAAGGGCACCTTAGGCCGGACCTCCACAGGCCACACTGGTTGAGCATAGCCTACCAGCTGGGCCGCCTTGGGGCACTCCCCCTCGATGTACCAGCTGTACAATGGGGACCCAAAAGCATCTGCCCCCAGGGCTGTGGGAGGATGCACAGTTGGCTCAGATAAGTACCGAGCATGCAGTAGCTGCCAGTCCCTATCCTCCTGTCCAACCAGGCTGGGGGTTAGGAACATGGCTCCTGGAGTCAAATCCCAGCTCTCTACTCACTAGCTGCTCTCCCTGGGCAGCACCCTGCAACCCCAGCATTGTTTTCCAGCCACTCAAGAGCAACATCAGCCACTCTGCCAGGCTTCCAGGAGGACTGGCGTGCCCAGGTCTATCCCACGTGGTAGCCTGACCACAGCAGGTACTTGTTTGCACTCCATTCCAAAGGACGCCCCAGGCTGAGGGAAAGCTGAGCTGTAGAGTGAGGTTTTGGGGTTAGACAAAGCTGACCCCGTGTGAGAAACCTGTTCTCCCCAGCTCTGGCCCTCTGGGGTGTGCTGATGTGTCGCCCACAGCCGGCTCCAATTCCTGGGCTCCTGAGCAGGTGTATAAGTGGAAAGGGGCCCATGCTAGCCACACGAGGAAGGATGGAGAGTGGATAGGAAGGGGGCGTGGCTGAGGGGTCCAAAAGCCATGTAGCCAGGGGCGGGAGCCACCAGCCTACGGGGTAGTGTGCACTCACACACGCACATGATGAGATCCTTGGACATCCCTGCTGGGCCTTGGGTTCCGGGCAGGGGCAGGCGGTATTGGTGGCAGGACCTGGGGCCCTGCTGGGATCTGGCCTGTGCTGAGCCTGTAGAGGTGGCCGACCCTTCTCAGTCCCGAGCCCTCACTCTCTGGGTCTGTGGCTTTAGGGAGGCTCTGGGAGGCTGTGGCACCATGGCTGGTGGTGAGTACCAGGCCCGCTGGCTTCCACTTTGTAGGGCATCCCGACATCCTGCTCACCTCAGCCACTGGCACCCCCTCTGGTGGTCGGCACTGCAGGAGGAGCTCGTGGTCCAGGGGCACCTCCTTGCCCAGAGGCTCCTGGTCAAAGTTCTTGCGGAGGTCTGGGAGAAGCAAGAGTATCAGGAGGAACAGTCAGGTGGGGGCAGAATGAAGACCTGCAGCACCCATTGTGGCCATGAGGGGGCAGTGCACACCAAGGCGCTGTTCTGGGACCTCTGGCTTTCACCTGGGCAGATTCTGTTCTGTAGCTAGGGGAGAGGTTCCTCTGATTCTGGGATCCTTCACTCACAGTAGCCCAGTGTGTGAGGAGGCTGCAAGCTTCCTCGTATAGGTGAAAACGGCCTTTAGAAATGTGACACGGGAACCCATCTAAGCTGCACCGGTGTGCCCAGTGTGTGAGGTGAGTCTTTAGCCAGGGATGCGGAAGGCTCTGCAGTGTGTAATTCCCCCTCGGGGGGCATCTATGGACAAGGGAAGCGGGGGTGGGGCTGGGGGTGGTGTCAGGGAGACATACAGGCGATGCGGACGTAGGCCCGGCGACTCTTGGTGGTGCCCGCAGAGCTCCAGGCCACACACTGGCACCAGTAGTCCTCCAGCCCAAAGAGCTCCTCCACCTGCTGCCGGGAGACCTGGATCTGCACATCTCGCACCCGCAGGCCTGGGGGAGGAGAGCACTGTCAGGAAGGGGGATGGCCCTCCTCCCAGCTGTGCTCCACTGCAGCCCACACCGCCCTGCCCGCTCACCTGAACACAGCATTGGCCAGCCCAAGTCCTGGTGTCCCCCACGCCCCCAGCCATTTGCCATCTGGCAGCTACTGCATGCTCCACAGAACGCACACAGCGCACCCGTCACTCCCCTGGTTACATCTTATCCTTTGCATTCAGATCCGACCTGGGCCTGCAGGCCTGCAGCTCCACCCCCAGTCACCCTGCAGCCCCCCCCCCCCCCACTCCCTCCCCCCCAGAGCTCCCTCCATCCCTCTGTGCCCACTGGACTCCCAGCCACACTCAGCATCTGGCTCAGCCTCACTTCCAGAAGGAAGCTTCTCCCTGTGCCTCTCCCTCCAGCTCTCAGGAGGTAGCCAGCACCGCCATTTGAGGTGACCAGGCCCATGACAGCCCTCAGTACCACTGTTTTTGTTTTCTTCTGTTGTTCTTTTGAGACAGGTCTCACCATACCGTTCAGACTGGCCTAAACCTATGGCAATCCTCCTGCCTCAGCCTCCCACGTCAGTGGGAGGCAGCAGTGCCCTATCCCTACACCTGGCAAACCCACGGTGAGTTCCTCACTGAATGGGTGGGGCCCAACAGCAGGAAGCAGATTGCTGGGGTGTGATTTTGAAAGTGGATCTTGAGCTGGCGTGGTGGTGCATGCCTGTAACCCCAGCACTTTGGGAGGCAGAGGCAGGAGGACTGCAAGTCTGAGTCCAGCCTGGGATACTCAGCAACTTAGTGAGACGCTGTCTCAAAATAAAATAGGGCCGCAGATGTAGTTCAGTATGAAGGTGCTGGGTTTAATCTCCCATCTGGCACCAAAGAGAAGGGACAGTCCAGGCAGGCTGTGCCCCTGGGAGGGTCCCTATCATGGGTTTCCACCTGAGACAGAGCAGTGGCGCTTGACAGCGGGATAGAGGAAAGCCCCGGGCTGGGGGCTGGATCCCTTCCCCATGGCCACCCACCAGGAAAGGCCGGGAGGAGGACGGAGCTCCAGGACTCAGCACCAGGATGTCCTCCTGAACATGGAAGAAGGGGCTGGGTGGCTGTCCCTCCTGTCCTGACACTGTGTTCAGGGCTAGGCACCAAGGCGGTAGAATCCATGGCTGCAGAGCCTGGCATGTGGGCAGCTAATGGGGACAGCAGTGCCCCATCCCTACACCTGGCAAACCCAGGGTGTCTGTGGGTGGAAACAGGAACCACACTGTCTTGAACAAGCACAGGCCCTTGTTACAGCCACAAAACATGGTGGTCTAGGAGGCCCATGGTCCCCTTGCTTTGCCTGGACCCCAGAGCTGACATCTGATCTGGGGGACATGGGATGGGAAGCAGGGACTGGCTGTGAGAGAAAGACAGACAGAGATCGCAGGAAGCTTGGAGAGGGGAGAGTGGGAATGGGCGCTTATCGAGGGCCTGCTGGGCCCCACCGTGCAGGCTCTGTGCTTCTCCATCCCCACCGGAACCTGTGGCTCAGGGAGGCTGAGTGACCTCCCTAAAGCCACACAGCCAGGCAGTGACGGCATCTGGGTGGGGAGCTTGGTTTTCCTTTTCTTATTTTTAGACTCTGGGCAACAACAGGACTTCAAATCTATTTTTAAAATTATTTTAAAGTTGTGGAAAAATGTATACAAGTTGCCATTTTAGTCATTTTTAAGTACACAGTTCAGTGGCTTTAAGTACATTCTGGGATGTGGTTTTCAGTCTCAATGGATCTAAAATTTGGACTTTTTGTGGCAAGAGAAATTGAAAGAGGAAGAAAAGAGAGAGAATGAGATAGGAGACAGACAGACAGACAGACAGAGACAGAGAAGAGATAGACATAAAGATTTTTTGTTGTTGATTTTTGAGATAGGGTCTTGCTATGTATTCCAAGCTGTGTAGCCCAGGCTGGCCTCAGACTTGGGGCGATCCTCCTGCTTGGATGATAGATGTGTGCCATCATGCCCAACTTAAGACAAACATAAAAAGAGGGACACACAAGGGCCACTGGGATGAGAAGGGGTGGCAAGCAAAAGAGAGGCAAATAAGAGCTGAAAAGGAGGAGAAAGAAAAGGACCACAGCCGGCCACGAGGCTGGGCACACCCCAGGAGGAAGGGCCATGCACTTCCTGCTGTGCCCAGGGGCCCCACCTAGGGATCTGGCTGCACCCCAGCACCACCTGAATGATGACCACTTAATATTATGGGGTCTAACATCTCAAAACCAAAATCTGAAACACTCAGAAAACCGGAACTGTCTGAGCGCTGACATGACACTCCAAAGCTTTTGGAGCTTTTTGAGATTTTGGACTAGGGATACTCCACTGGTAAAGTCTGTGCAAACCCCAGATCCAAAACACTCTGAAATCGGAAACACGTCTGGTCCCAGGCATGTCAGGAAGTGTACTCAGCCTATATTAACCTCTCTTTGGGGTGCCTAAAACAACCCACCCACCCCTCCTTTCTTTCCTTCTTTCTGCAGTGCAGGACCTTTGCACTGAGCTATACCCCAGCCATTTTTTATTTTATACTTTGAGACAGGGTATTGCTCAGTCACAGGGTACTGCTCAGTCAGACTGGGCTTGAATTCATGATCCTCCTGCCTCATCTTCCCCAAGTGCTGGGATTAGAGTCATACGCCACCACACCTGGCTAGAGGAAAGGTATGGCTGGGAATGGAAAACAGTATCACTCCCCACAAACAGAAAAGATCTATAAAAATGAGGACTATAATGAACTCCAGTTTGGTGGCGTGGGCGTGGGGCGTGGGACAGAGGCCTGTTCCTCTTGGTTAAAGTGGGGATTAGCAGCCACGGGAGGGCTGAAGAATCAACTTGCTCCCTGATCCGATCAGAGGGTCAGAAACAAAATGGCAAAGGGATCAAGTGCTCAGCAAGGGGCGCAGTGCTGCTGAAGGCGGTGGCCGTGGTCACCAAAGGCCAGGCTGAGACCTGCAGGTGCTTTGGGGAGTTTGGACCCAGGGAGTCCCCAGAGCAGAGCCGGGGTGCCCAGTGCGGGAGGACTCACCGGTAGCCTCGTCCCGGCCCTCCTGCGTGACGTGGTCGCTCTGGCCCACCCACTCGCCATTGCACTTGAAATAGATCTGCGTGGCGGGGGAGGCGCGGCAGTGCAGCTCCACAGGCCGGTTCTTCACGATGTAGGCGTCCTGCGGCTCCTGCAGGAAGTGCGGCAGCGGCTCCGCGGGCGCCGAGGGGAAGGAGTCAGGGAGCACCTCGCTGGCTGCATCAGCACCTGCGGAGGGCAGAGCACCCATGAGGCACAGTGGGGAGACCCAGGCAGCCCTCACCCCCATGGTGTCTGCTGCAGAGACAGACCTGCTGAGGCCCTGCTCTGTGGCCACGTGGGCAAGATCTACACTCTGGAGTCCTCAGTTTGTCCTGCTTTTAGGAGACTGAGCTTTAGAACTTGTCCCACTGATGTGATTCTGTGTTTTATTTATTTTCGAGACAGGGTCTCACTATATAGTCCAGGCTGGACTTGAACTTGCAGGGATCCTCCTGCCTCAGCCTCCCAAGTGCTGGGGTTACAAACATGCACCACCATACCTGGCAATGCTGTGTGATTCTACCTCCTTACAACTGGAGAAGCCATGGAGGCCAGCAAGGTGGCCAGGTCTCAGGACGAGGACATCCCTCAGCCTTCCCCAGTGTCCCTGCTCCTGCTCTGCCTCACTCCCAGTTCCAGTGGTGATGCTACAGTATGTGACGGGCTGGAAACAGGGCTGAAGCTGGCACTCAAATCAGGCCAGCTCTGCCCTGAAGCCACCACTGCCCTTTGCAGCCCAGCCAGCCAGGCCGACGACACAAGAGACAGCTGGGGCCCTGGGACAGGGAGTGGGCTGGGGTGGCGGCAGTGGCCTGGCCTCCCTGACAGGTCTCTTCCTGAGGAAGCCAAAGCACCCGTTGGGGCAGGATTGGGGGTCTCCACCCCACGCTGGGTTCCTGGTCTGAGATGACAAAGCAGCCCACAGCCTCCTCCCACCACGTCGCATCCACACGGGGGATGTGGAGCCTCCTCCCCCAGAGGGGCACATGGGGACGCCTGTGTCCCTGGACAGAGCGGCTCCTCGGGAGGTGCAGCAAACAGGAAGGGAGGGGGCAGGCCCCGCTGGTGCTGAGTGGGAGGAAACCAGGCCAGGCTGCCCATTGGCTTACGATTCACTTCGGAAAACTGGCTTCCAGTGCCAGATGCTGACACCGAGGGGGCTGAGGTTGAGCCATGGGGGGCTTGTCTTTCTCCACCCACTGCTCCAGAGGAAATAGAGAACTAAGCTGTGGGTTGGGCATGTCTTCTGGTCTTACCAGTCAAGTGCCCCCTTAGCAAGCGGCTGGGGGCCCAGGAGACCTGCATGGGGACCATGAATTTGCTCTCCAGCCAAGAGGCTATCCATGGCTCTAGCGAGCCCTCTCCAGGCCAAGGGGTCAAGGACACCAGATTTCCAAGAGCAGAAAGAACACACCTCGGCTGGCTGTGGTTTCTCTTTGTGGACCACACGACCCTTCCAGGACTGGGTGACTTCAGGGATGATGCATGATTATCACTGGCTACAGGCTCTGGGCAGTGCATGTGTGAGATGCAGATAGACAGACAGACAGACAGGCCCACCAACAGAGAGAGGGACGGGAAAGCCAGCCAGGTGGGATGAGAAGCAGCTCTTCTGCATGTTCTGCGTGACCCAGACAGGCTACCTGAACCTTGTGCTGCTGTGAGGATCGCATGAATGCCCAGGAGGGGACCTAGCACACAGTAAGTACAAGGTGCTGCATGAAAAGAGTGATTACTAAGCATCAGGTGCTATGGCTTTGGTCCTTTGGCTATCCCCAACAGCCCTGTAAGGTATATTCTTCTAATCCCCATTTCCCCATGGGGAAAGTGAGGTTTGGAGAGGTTAAACCACTTGCCCAAGCTCACACAGCTAGCAAGAGACAGATCAAACCAAGTTGAACCCAAGAAACAGACATCAGCATGTGGGAGGTGGTCCAAGACTCTTCACCCGATTGCTGTAATGTTGTGGGTGTTCCTATAGCACAGAAACCTACCAGCACCCTGATGCTGGCGAGGACTCTACAGTTTAGGGCCTCTCTCATCAAAGGACCCGAAAAACTGGGACTGTAGTTTTCATTTCAAAGCTGAGGACATCAAAAACCACACAAGGGGCGCCAGTGACTTGCCCAAGGCCACCTGGTGAGTGGACAGCGGCTGAGAACACTGACACACACAGTAACTGACCGCAGCGCTGAAGCTGGTCCCTGTGCCCACCCTGGGATGGCCGCAGAGGCCTCCCTGACGGGTGGGCAGCAGGGCACCAGCCACTCCTGCCCACCTCTCATACCTGTCGGTCCTGAGGGAGGACAGCAGGGCCGAAGCGCCAGACTCAAGACTCCCAGCCTCACCAGCTCCTCGCGTGCTAGGGCAGCCCATCCAGGAACCAGAGCGCCCTCCCTCCAGGTACACGTCACACAGGCTGCTCTACCTTCTCTCCACACCACCCCCTGCCCTGCCGCACTGCGGGCTGTGTTTACGACTTTGTTTATAACCCTAATGCGGCTCATTTATAAAGTGCCCAGACTGGGAGGATGGAGGAGTGCAGACATTAGACACCCATTAGTGCGGTGGCCCCACCCGCCCCGCCCCACCCCACTGGCTGCTCCATCAGCTTGAGCCTGTATGCCTAGCCTGCTCGGGGAGGTGGGCCCAGTTCCCCTTGGAGGCCTCTGTATGGTGATCCCGATGGCTCATTATGCAGTGTTTGCTCCCATGCCTGGACATTCTGGGGCAGACATGCCAGACGGTCAGGAAAAGGAATCAAAGGTCACCTCTGCTAGCTGGCACACAGTAGGTGTGCAGTACAAGTTGCAAGTTAAATAAAATGGCATCGTGGAGCAGGGTGTAGCCAGTGCAGAGTTGAGCCAGCCCTGCCCTCAATGCTGGCCCTGGCTTGGCATGTATTGGGCCTGAGCTGGGCTGAGGGGGCCTTGGTGTGTCCCCTGGGGGTGACCCTAGCCAGCCCCTATGGTCCTAGCCTGAAGGGGAATGAAAGAGATTTCTGGAGTCCTCTGTCAGGCCCTGCTTAGAAGATGTATCCCAGCTTCTCCGAGTATCTGCAGAGGTGCCTGCATGTTTTGGTCCCTTTAGTAGATCCATACTTGTTTTTTATGGTATGTCAGGAATTCAAAGATAGTCCCGACACAATTAGGAATTCATTAACGAGTTGGATCCAAATGGTCCATAAGTATGTACAGCCTGGAACTTAGTAGCCATTTGGAAAAATACTTAGCACGAAATAAAGTAAAAAAATGTTCTCATTCCATTCCTAAATAGCCACGATGCCTTACTGACGGGGATGTGTACGTCTGTCGGTCACGGCACAACTTCTCAAACTGTGGGTACACAGCGGGCACTGCCACCCTTGTTATTTGTCCTGGGCTACCCTCGAGTGTCCAAACCCAGCTTTGCTAAGATATGGCACCCAGAAAAGGGGGAAGTGGAGCAATGTGGTGTTGAAACTGAGCAGCCTTGAGCTGGCACCCGGGGCGGTGCAGACAGCTTCTAGGATTGCCGTTTCCCTGGAGGATTAAAACAGCCCGCAATACCCTGGGGTGACTTGGCACAGAGTTTGGGAATCACAGCTTCATGAGCTAGGGCTATTTTACTCTCTCCAACCTACAGAAGGGAAACTGGCACTTCTGCACACTCCGGGCACTTTAAACACTTCACCTCCCATCTGCCAAGGTGTGGATCCCATCCCACCTACCCTACCCATGAGCACGAGGGTATCAAGGGACATGAACGGTCACCAGGCCAGCAGGAGGCAGCCAAGCTTGGAGTCACATCTGTTGGTTTCCTGCTTCCCTGGTGTTGCTACACCTCTCTCCAAGTCCCTATCTTTACAGTGGAGAACGAAATCCCTGAGAAGGGCCCCCTGGGGGGAGACCAGGCCTCTGCCAGGCTGGGTCTGGACTTCCTCTGGCAGGAAAATTTCCCACACTTTTTTTCTTTTTCCCCTAACAGTAGAACTTCTTTGGGCCCGTGGCAAAGATGTAACTTGCCTTTCAGGCTGCAAATGTGGATGGTCCAGATATGCTAGAGGACCCTTCCATGCAGATGTAGCTGGGCGAATCCCGGGCAAACGCAGCCTCTGAAGGCAGGAGCCCTGGGGTTGCATTCCCAGGGACTGACACTGCCGAGTGGCCTTCCCCTCTGGCCTGAGGCCACATCTATACAAGGAGACTGACTAAGCTACTCTCCTGAGCCCTGCTCTGGTCCCGAGGCTTTGACATTCTCAGATTCCCCTATGGGGCATCTGTCCATGTGTGAAAGTGTACTGAGGTGTCCATTTTTTCTTCATAGAGCAAATCTACTTAAGGAAGGGTCATCTTTCTCACCATGGTTAGTCCTGGCTCAAAACGCTGGCACACTCTGTGGTCCTAAGGCAGGGAGTCAATGGGTCCCAAGAAAGGAAAAGAGGAAGAGGAGGAAGCATTTGCTGTTGGGGTCTCCCAATCCTGCTCCTGCCGCCCATTCCAGGTCTCAGGTCAAAATGACCAGCAGCCCTCTGGGTGGGACTACCTGTGGGAGCCATTCAAACTAACCCTTCTAACTCATCCATACCTACTTGGATGAGGTCTCTCTGGAGGTTTACTTAAAGGGCCAGCTCATCCTATATCCCCTGTCACCTCCTCATCCAACTTAAACTCACACACCTCCAGGGATGGGGCACACAACAATGCCTTTCTTGCTTAGGTTCTCCTGAGGACAGGTCCACAGTTAGAAAGGGTTTCCTTCCCACAGCTGCAAAGTGCTACCCGAGGCCTCAGCCATTACCATAATCCTCACCTTTGAGGTCACCCCAAAAGTATATCCTCTTCCCTCTGACAGCTTCTCAGTCTTGGAAGCTGTAGCCCGCCCGCTTGGCCTTCTGCCGTTCTTACATACTGTCTATGAGACGCAGTTTTGTAGCTCTTCCCCCTATCCTGGCTTTCTTAGGGACAAATCACGTTTTGCTCACAGTTCCTTGATACATACGGTAGGTGTCTTAGTTATTGTTTTTTTCTCATTGCTGACGTAAAATATCTGACACCCAAATGAAAGGGGGAGAGGCTTATTGAGCTTATAGTTTGTAGAGGTTTTACTCTATAATCGGCTCGCTCCAAGGCAGGGTGGCATGGTAGACAGCATCGCAGAGGAGACATAGTTTATGGTGGGCAGAAAGCAACAAGGGACCACTACAG